GTGTGTGTGTGTGTGTGAGTGTGTAGGTGCATGTGTGTGTGTATGTGTGAGTGTGAGTGTGTAGGTGTGTGTGTGTGAACCTACCCTGCTGTGTCCTCTGTGGTGGATTTTTTCTGGTTTGTACTGAGCGTGCTTCGTGGCGTTGTTGTTGTCATGTCCACGCCGGTCATCGTGCGGCGTGCCACATCCCCGGGGCTGTGATGTCACATCCTGAAGGCGGTAGACCAGGTGCTGGTCGGGGGAGGAGTCTGACGGCTCGATGCCGTAGCTGTCGTCAGCAAGATGCAACACTCCTCTGGAGAGAGGAGAGACGGAGTCAGAGTGAGACAGAATATAAGAGAGACACAGAGGTGGACGGAGTCACTGTGACGTCAGACACGGACACTTCTGCTGTCACCATCTTTGTTTTTAGTCATCACTATCTCATGTTGAATGATTCAGGTGTTTATTTCATCTGAGTAACTAAAAGTCATGAGACACAAACTGAGGACCACATGAGTGATTTTGGACAAACTGGTCATTTAAAAGTTCAGCTATATGTGTGTGTGTGTGTGTGTTGGACGTCCACCATATTAATTACTGAGCTATCACACAGATTGAAACAGCAGGGTGAAAGTCACCTACACACACACACACACACACACACACTATATACACTCCCTTCTCTCTCAAGGACAGAGTTAGTTTCCTATTTATATTCTCCCCACAGATGGCTCAGTGTGTGTGTGTGTGTGTGTGTCTGTGTGTGTGTGTGTACCTGAGGCCGTTGCAGATGCTCATAGCAACAGCAGAACCCTCCATGTCCTGAACGGAGCCCTGATAGTGACAGTGGTCCTGCAGCACACACACACACACAGAGGTCAGTCCAGCCTGCAGCGCCTCAGAGACACCAGCAAGGGGCGGACATGAGTTGCACACCAGACAGCCAGCTCATTGAAGCAGAAAGCCTGTTTATCTATATATTATTATACGAGTTAACTTGTGATTTAATACAGTTTTCATGTGTTTCTGTTGACGTCGTGTTTGCATATTGTTAGATTTCTATCTGCTGTAACTCTCACTGCCTTCCCTTCATGATTACTTCCTCCTCAGATTAGATCCATTCATGAAGCAGTACTTTAACGTCATAGAACACCGTCACTGGTTAGTTAGTTCATTAAAGTCACCATGAATACATGCAGGCATGCTGTCAGCCTCAACGCTCTTTCTTCCTCTTTATGTTCTTCTAAATAACAAACTTAATGAAAATATCTTCCATCATGTGTTCAACATCTTCCCACAACGTTTCCTGTTCTCATCACACTCTCACACACAACAGTGTTCATATGATTTATTTGATGCCAGTAGAGTCAATGTAAATGTAAATCATTAACGTGTCATCAAACACCACAGAAGAAGAGTGGAGGAGGTCAGGAGGCAGGAAGTATCAGTGCACTGCTAACACACACACACACACACACACACACACACACACACACACACAGGAGGGAAGTCCCATCATGCATCTCTTTGTGGGAAACATCTTATTTCAATAAACAGCTGAGCTTCAGACACACTGAGACGTTTCAGAGGAAGCGAGTTTAGTTTCATACGTTTGGAGACATTTAGCTTTAAGTTGCGTCATAAGTATTATTTTATTAACTAATATGAACTAATACTTCATTATTATTAACTTTAAATAAGCATCATGAAATAGTTATCAGACTTGTTTGTGAAGAAATAAATGCATAAAAACGTTATAAACTAAATTACCCACAACCCATTGCAGTGACATGGTGTAGATCTTCTGGTTATGATGTAACGTTGTATATTAATATCGTTACCAACAGACTGAACAGTTGTTCAATGACTCATCTGTGTCTGAATCATTACTGAGATGAAGCTGAAAATAGAGCTTTAGAACCAATAATGTTCTCAAAGAAACATGCAGAGGAAGTCGTTATTAGGATCGTTTTGAGCTCCTCTTTTCTTCTTCTACTCTTTTATTTCTGCTTCAGTTGGTTTTTTCATGTTTGACTTCACCGACTCCTCCTCCTCTCCTGATCGCAGCTTCCTGTTCTAGTTCATCCTCCGATGCTCTGATTGGTCACAACAAAAGCTCCCTGTGTGTGTGTGTGTGTGTATCTGTGTGTGTGTGTGTGTGTAGGTGTGTGTGTGTGTGTAGGTGTGTGTGTGTGTGTGTATCTGTGTGTGTGTGTGTAGGTGTGTGTGTGTGTGTGTGTGTGTGTGTATCTGTGTGTGTGTGTGTGTGTAGGTGTGTGTGTGTGTGTAGGTGTGTGTGTGTGTGTGTAGGTGTGTGTGTTACCTGTACAGGTGGTCTGGATGTGATGAGTGATCCATTGTGACTGTAGGAGAACACGGTGAAGTCTGCAGGAAGCAGCAGTCTGAAAACAACAACAACAACAACAACAACAACAACAAGTCACTTTAGCCTCATTTCCTGTCTGTCTACAAATGGATCCTACAAAATAAAAGCCCGAAAAAAATTACGCAAACTCAACGATCAGCGAACCATCTGAGAAATAATGTGAGGAAACATTGTAGAGAATAAAAGTATAAATAAAAAACGTAAAGATGTCAACAACAGTAAATTCAAATGATTTACAACATAAAAATAAATAATGTTTAACAGAGAGAGAGAGCGACAGAGACAGAGAGAGAGACAGAGAGACAGAGAGAGAGAGAGAGAGAGAGAGAGAGAGAGAGAGAGAGAGAGAGAGAGAGAGAGAGAGAGAGAGAGAGAGAGAGAGAGAGAGAGAGACAGA